TCCACACTCCTCTCTCAACACACACACACACTCCTGTCACTGTCCAGCTCCACACACACACACAATTTAGAGAAAACGAATTTCCTGTATGGAGAATCCCTCAGTTAAGAACAGTCCCTCAGGGTGAGAGCGTTTTTAGAACTGGGAGATAAATCTCTCTTCCTGGAGCACCAGATACTGTAGTAACTGTAGGTCATATTCTGTTGGTTCAGAGAGCAGCGGTCTCTCTCTTGTTGGCATGTAGGCATTATATAGGTTTTGAATACTATAGCAGTCTGGGGTTTTTATGCTTGGTCAAAAAGTAGGCTCCGAGACACCTTGTGTGTAAACAGAGTAACATTTATGTTATCTTGTGTTATTGTCACTTTTAATAATTATTCCTTTCTCCCAGTGTCCTCAGAATTATTACTCTACCACCAGAGCTGTGCCAGGGAACACAGATCTCAAGTGTCTCTAACTGTACCTCCCACTCAGGTATGTTCTTGGCAACAATTTACAACGGGGGGTTATGACCATCTATTTAATTATCCTACTCTGTATTTCTGGAATGTGACTATTATTATCAATCCCTTTTTGTAACAGTACAATTTTATCTCCTGTATCAGCCTAACAAAAAGCAACCTTATCGCTCATGACCAGAAGTTAAACTAGTACTCTCCAGTCAATCTCGGCTGATCACACAGATTCACACGACTGGGATGTCACGCAGAACAGATAAAAATAATTTTAGAAAAGAGAAAAGTGTTGTACTTCTTCCGGTACTGCAGGGGGCTGGACACAACAAGCGACATTATTCTAACATGGCTAAATGTGTGCGGGAGAGCTGTCCTGTACAGGATGCTGGCCTCACATATCCAGCACTGTGATGCCATGCTTGTGGCCTAGAGTCTGACCAGGCCTTCCCAAACTCAACTGGTAGCTACAGACTGCAAGAGCTGAGAACTCTGGAGACTTTTGGAAAGGTATGTAGTGGACAGAGCAGAAACAGGCCAGTCTGAGCCCGGGAATAATCTCAGCTGGGATTTTCTCGATCACACCTACAGTACCAGCCAGTACCACAGTGTGTGGCACCTTATACACCACACTTTCAAGCTCATTGCTCATTCAGTGGGGAAACCACTGTGTGTCAAACAGCCAAGGGCATCTTAAACCACAAGGTGGAATACTGGGAGGACCTTACAACAGCACCGTTGGGTCCTTAGAGCAACAAGTAAGAGAACCAATCAAGCCTTTCGTTTAAAGCACTAACAAACACAGTGGAGCGCCTCTAAAAGAAATCTAAGATCAAGAAGACCAACAAAGGTGAAGAGAAATGCTATTCGCACATTGAGAGAATGACTTCACACGGATGGAGCATGCGAGTTACCTGGCGTCAGCCCCTGAGCCAGGTCCAGGTCATCAGTGTAGGACTCGGGTCTAGGAGACAGTGAAGTAGCTGCTTACTCACCACTCACAAGCAAACATGCAGCACAGGACATTTCTTCCTCAGCTAGAGCAAAAACAACTTCTCCAGCAATGTCATCTAGATCAACCAGTAGAACCTGGACGCATGTATTTCTTTTGGCCAAGACAAAAATCAAACTCCAGATGGTGATCCAGACAGGAGGGAACAAATTAGGAATTTAGACTTTATGGCAAAAAGTACCAAGTGCTGTGATTCAGTTCTTTTATAGTACAAGAGCTCTCCCCAGTTTCGGCAGCAGAATGAAGGAGAGGACCTCTCCCGCCAGAGCAGCACTGGCCACCTCCAGCAGGGCCTGGCAGAAGTATTCACACCCTGGCAACGAGCTCTCGTTTTCTCAGAATCGGAACGTGCAAACTAAACACGTCTGTGGATCGTAGAAGTTAAATGTCAGCAGAAAATGCATAGAAATATCTAGTATATAGTCAAAGGCAGGAGTGTGTGAGTGTAAGTGTGACTACAGCTGCTCAGAGGGCATGTCCATCAGTAGCAGCTGAAGAAGACCACGGGAAGCCTGCTTTCTCAGGACCCCGCGGGCGGCTCGTACCTGGGCTGTCCCACCTCCACGCTGTAGCGATTCAGAGTGTGCCGCGATCCTGCGGCCTCCAGGACCACGGAGCGGTTCTGCATCCAGAAGGCGTACTCCTTCTCCAGAATGGGCAGGGCGGTCCTGAGAGACAGGCCAGGTCACGCCAGCACACGGGGAACTCCGAAACACAGCTCAAATGACAGAGAGCGCTTGGGGCAGATATCAGCCTCCATCACACCATCTGACGCGTCTACGTCAGGCCCTGCAGAGCGCTTGGTGACAGAATACCAGTCCCTGAACTGCCATGCCAGCCATTCAACTGTGGGGGCTGCTCCTGCTGGTGTTGACAGATTTGTCATACAGATGGGTAAACTGCGACTCAAGCACTCACATCAGACCCATAATCGGAGTACAGATCACTGTGTGCCTGAAATGGTTTCAATACAAACTTCTTGAATTTTTCTACTTATCCATATTTATAGCAAAGGGATGGAGAGCTGGGGGTCCTGGGTTCAGCTCTTGTGTGCCCTGTGGTGGACTGGCGCCCCCTGCTCTGTGTGTGTGCCTGCGCCCTGTGGTGGACTGGCGCCCCCTGGTGGGAGCGAGTACTCTGCGCAGTGCTCTCTGGGACAGCCTGTGCTGGATCCACAGCTGTTGAAAGTGAAGTGGCGGTGTGGTGGTTTTTTCGTCTCTCCTGGGTGCAGCACTTCCCCTCGGGAGCGCAGCGGCCGCCCTCCCTGGACACACCTGAGGAAGGCCTTGTCCTGCGAGGCACGGTAGTAGCTCTCCACCATGAGCGTCAGGAAGGGGGGCTGACTGCGGCGCTCGAAGTACACTCGCCCGCCGTTCGGGACGAAGCCGTACCTGCGGCAGGACAGCGGAGCCGTGAGAGAGCCAGCAAAGACGAGCAACATCTCCAAGCAGGCTTGTTTATTCACCCAGTGGGTCTTCCTCATTCCTGATTCCTGATCTCTGTTACTGTAGCATCAGGTGACCCCCAATGAGTGCAAGCTAGAAGGCAGACTACCCTGTAAAAGGCCAGTTCTTTAAAAGATTAGATCACTTTATTGGCCATATACAAGTTCTTGTATTTGGAATTTCTTTTCGCAGACCCCAGCTTGCTCTCCATGAGACACAGACAGGGAGAGAAGCTGGGGGTCTGAGCGCAGGGTCTGTCATTGTACAGCACCCCTGGAGCAGCTGGGGTTAAGGGCCTTGCTCAGGGGCCCAACGGAGTAGGATTACTCTGCCGGCCGCAGGATTTGAACCGGCAACCTTCCAGCCACAGGCGCAGATCCTGAGCCACAGAGCCACCGCTCCGCCATCGTGTGTCTTGTGTGTACTGGGCTGTACTGCATCAAGCAGAGCTCTTTGCAACACACTCCACTTGTCCTCTGAAACATACAGCTCGTTTCCAAACCAAAAGAACACGTGAAAAACAAAGTGGTTAAATGGTGTACGATGCCCCAGGAGAACAGTGAAGGAGGAGCAGAAAAAGCTGAAGATCAAAGAAGGAGAAGGTGGGGCAACAGTGCTGTCGGGGTGAAGACAAATTCAGTTCAATTCAAGCTTTATTACCCTCTGAGGAAACACTCACTGAGAGGGAGACTGTCGAGGGCAGAACAGGCACACCTGAGGAGCAGGGTGAGCCACGCATGTCTTGGCCTTCGTCAGAACACCCTGCCTGACGTGAGGAGACCCAAGCAGAGAACATGAAACAAAACCAAAAAAAGCATCTTACTTGTCCACGAGGTGGAGGAAGTTCTCGATCATGCCTCGCGCTGTGTCCTGCATCTCGGAGAGCAGCAGCCCATTGATCACCCAGTAAGAGTCCCTGAACATCACAGGGCAGAGCAGGTCACGCCTGGGCAACGTTTCCACCCTAACACACAGCTGCGTGCAGTGTGGAGCTCACACGGATCCCTCCAATTCCACAGGAACAGTGGATACCCCTGCCACTGACGGGCCTGTTGCTGAGAAGAACGTACCGCTAGTCTCACGCCGATACCCACAGGACCTACCAGTAGTAGAGCTCCCTGAAGCGCCCCCCAGGGACGATGAGGGGGTTGGGGGTGTAGATCAGGGAGTAGAGCTCAGGATGTACCCTCACATCAGGGCGCACCTGCACACAACAAGGTTAGAGAAGCTTTCTAACTGCACCGGGGGCTTCACTGTGCACAGGCACCGCGCCCACTGCTCCCACCTTCCTCCCGAGCGATTTCCACAGCTGGTGGAGCTCCTTGGCCCAGCGGCGCAGCCTGCCGTCCGCGATCTTCGACAGGAACCTGGGCCTGCAAGAAAAACCCCAAGAATGACTTCATCACACCTTCTATATCCCCCCTTCCCAGTCAATCAGGTAGCAAAGCACATTCTTCGTGTTGACAGGTGTTTTAGCGGCGGGAATCTACAAGTTTTTCCAAGACAGCCCTCCAGAGCTCCTTGGCCTTTTCATTAATATCACAAAAAAGGAAGCAGCAGAGCTTGACCTGGAAACATCAAACTCTTGCTTCTATCTGTAGCAAAGACACTGTAATGTTTCTGCCCTGCTACCCTTCATCGGCCTGAACTACAGCCTCCTTTTTAAACCGTAATTCAGCTCAAACGAGCGCCTCATTGCATGCTAGTCTGTGACAATCTTACTTGCTGTGCCAATCCGCTGGAGTCCATGGTTCGAACTCCGTCCCTGGTTCCTCAAAGAAATCCTCGAGGAATTTCCGAAGCTGGGACGCAGGAAGGTTTCCACCTGGAACCCGAGAGGTCAGGTTCCAGAAAGACTGCAGCACTCTTTCTGCAATGGCAATGGAACAAGACAGCGGCCACCACAACGTCTGAGATCAATCTGACGTCCCAATGCCAGTCTTCACCGCAGAGGAACTCCGGGAAGGTGTGGGTGGTGGGATATTTTAAGTCTGGGATGCGTAACTGGCAGGGCAGCGCAGTGGCGCAGTGGGTAGCATTGCCGATTTCCTGGGTGCGGTCTGTGTGGAGTTTGCATGTTCTTCCCGGGTTCGAGTGGGTTTTCTCCCACAGTCTAAAGACATACTGTACTGGTAGAAAATTGGTTGTGCTGTGAGTGTGTGTCTGATCCAACGCCTTACAGCAGGTCTAGAAGGCTCACAGAAGGTACAGGAAGCAATAATGGGCACTTATACTACATCAACATGAAGAGCAGCTCACCTGGGGGCTCCTTCAGCTTCATATCCACGAAGTGCTTATCGTCGTCGAACAGCCTGGCCAGCTGGACCTGCCTCAGGATCTCCCCCATGCAGTAGATCTCACTGACGAAGAGGACACAGCCAAAATCAGGCTGACCGCAGCTCTTGAAAAACAGCGCCTCACCAGACACCGACCAGAGCAGCGCAGAAGAATTCACCTGAATGCTGTCTTTAAATTATTACTGCATTCAAAACATGTCCAAATGATTCTGATGTTTCTCAATAAAACCTCAAAGGCTTATTTCTTTCTGCTCTAGGCTGACTGGTATTAGGAGTGTCTGATCCTCCAGCTTCATGAGGATTATACAGTAAGCAGACTAGAAAATAAGCACAAGTTCAGTCACACGCCATCATCAAGACATTACAAGCCAGTTGTAATGATGCAAGAGATCCTTATTTGAACTGTATAGATCAGGCCCCATCTGTCGAAACACCCTGAGTAAAACACTTCACTCTCTTAAGAAGACACCTCAAGCTTTAGTAGAGTAAATAAGTAAGAAGGCGAGGAGCTAGATGTGGGCTCTGTGCTTCCTTTCTGTATTTCCCAGTGGAACACAACAGGTACAGGCAAACGTGATGACTTCTGAGGCCAACATTGTATAACCAAGTCAGGACCAATAGCGGTTATACCGGGTGCCATGGACCGGTAACAATATGCCCAAATCCACAAAAAGTTCTCCTCTGAGCAGAATTGGCACACAGGATCAGGGGACGGTGCCCATGTACCTGCAGGACTGACTTCCACTAGAACCCAGGGGAACTCTGCAGGTCACATTTTCTGTGACCATATCACCCTGCAGCTCCCAGCTGGCCGCCCACTGGAGCCCAGCAGTGAGAGCCTGGCCAGTACCTGGAGGGGAGGAGTCAGTGGGGCCAGCAGGGGGCGCTCACCCTGCGGTCTGTGTGGGTCCTAATGCCCCAGTACAGTGGCAGGGAGACTATACTGTAGAAAAAAAAAGGCACTATCCTTCAGATGAGATGTAAAACCGAGGTCCTGACTCTCTGAGGTCATTAACAATCCCGGGGTGTTTCTCGAGAAGAGTAGGGGTGTTACCCCAGTGTCCTGGTCAAATCTCCCCCTGGTCTTTACCCATCATGGCCTCCTAATAACCCCCGTCTCTGAACTGGCCTCATAACTCTGCTCTCCTCCCCACTGAGAGCTGGGAGAGGACTGGAGCATCATCCAGGTGGGGGTACACACTGGTGGGGGTGGAGGGGATCCCCATAACCTGCCCCGGTGGAGGTCCAGAGAAGAGCTATAGAAGTGTAGGGAGTGATTAATATTAAGGAAATCTGAGAGCCCTGCCTGCAGAGAGTCTGACTGGAAAGCTGTGCTCCGGAGCGAGGTCTGCCTCATGAGCGCTGTGCAGGGTCTGACACATGCTCAAACAGAAGGCAGGACACGAAGACATGACAGGCTGAGACAGATCGACCACCTCTAGAGGGGGCAGCCATATGCTTTACAATTAGCTGTCTCGCCTTGCAGAAGCAAGGCTTTAACTAATGTAGGAGAAACACAGGTATTGAGCTCTAGGCTCTTCTGTTTAAACACTCATGACCTTATTTTTCCACTCCATAGCAAACAAATTCATTGGACAATCTCCCCACAGTCTGTCCTGTTATTAATACACCAGCTAGCGGTTAGCTTACTTTCAGATTAATACCTGAGAGTGAAGAACAGCTCAGGGTTCAAAAGTCTTGTAATTCCTGTTAATATTTAAACAAATTGTAAGTTTCAAAGATATTACTTTCAAAGTACAGTACACACAACTTGATGTATACTTAGCTTTTCTTCAGGAACACGGTGAATATTCCATTCCATAAAGCAATCAAACACTGCCTTCGAGTTTGTGAATTTGCCGGTTTCTTTTAATTTAATGCCAATTTAACCTTGCTCATCGCACTTACAATTTTAAACAGATGAACAGTCAATGCCTTTATCCTCATTACTCGAAAGGGTCAAAGTTCCTGTCAAGTTGATGAGAACAAACCTGTGACAAGAAGAACTTGAGACATCTCACAGAGCCTGTTTTCCCATCAACTACAAGAAGCAGGTGGCAAAAATGCTAACTGAAATGTTACCCAGCATTCCAGGCAGGGGGAAAGGGCAGTATCTCCGAAGTGTTGAAATGAGCCTGTGAGGAGGAGAATCTCTCTCCAGGTTCCACTCACACCGCTGCTGCACCTCCTCTCAGCGGAGAGGAGAGGACGGGGCAGCTCGGAAACTGAGCACAGAACAAGGAGGCCCACACCAGCCCAGAGACCCTAGCCCTAACCCTACAGCATGCTCTGTTCACTCAGGCTCCTTTCAAATATCAGAAGGACCACACGAAGCTCTGCCAACACTCGGCAGTGAATTCATGCAAAAATTCAGAAAGCCCACTGTTTCACAGAACGGCAGCTTCAGGCGAACTCCGCGCTGCAGTTCATCTCTGATAAAGCAAGAGCACGTGTGCATGTCTTCACACAAACTACAGCTGCTCATGATCGCCACAAGCCTCCAACTGGGCACATGCGCTGCTATCATGCCCGGCTCACAGACTCGGATCTTCCACTGCAGACTAATCAACTCGGACAGCGCTCGGCCCGGTGGAGAGAGCCGCGCTCCAGGACAGTTCCTACAGGGAAGCAGGAGCTGAACGAAGGGGCTGAAAGTGGAGCATGGGGAAAAGCCAGCTTACCTGTCGCAGGGAGGAGGCAGAGCGCACCTGAGCACAGGGAGCAGGGCCAGACAGCAGGTCCACAGAAGAGCCCAGTCCATCCCGTCACGACTCGTCCCGACTGCCTCCACACTGGGAGAACACTGCGCTATCGCCTGGGCAGTGTCCAAGGCCTCCCAGCTCCCTGCTTTATGACGCCCTTATCGTGAACGGCAGGGTTATGTGGGGGATCCGAGATAAAACCACGACTGAGGTTTAAACCACAGACTTCAACGTCTCTGCCAAGAGAGACAAGCCCGCCCGCCCACCACACAGTGCCAGAACCACAGGAGCTTGCCAGCAGAGACTCGCAGAGACCACGCCGTCATGCAAATCCCCCGATCGGCCTCAGCACCACCTCCTGAAGCCAGGGAGACATTGAGACCAGTGGAGTGAGTAAGACGATATTACCGCAGTTCAGCAGGGTGGAGCGTGAAACCAAGCACTGCAGATGAGGAATTGGGTATTAGGAAACCCTCTCCTGTGAGGCCAAGTGAGTTTCATTCCAGAAGGCTGACAGGAGTTCTACCCTTTCTGGAGCAGTTGACGTGTGATGGACAGGGCCCCGTGTCTCCAGACAGATGCCGTCCTTACATGATGGGAGGAAGCTGTCCCGTGTGTCCTGACAAAAGCCGTGCCCTCTAGAGAGCTGCAACATGGGATACGCTCTGCGGGATGCTGGCATCTGCTGGCGTGGAGCTCAGCCATGCCCTCTCCTAAATCTGCATGAGTGCTACACCGAATCAGGCTGAATAAACCAAACCTCTTCAATCAGGCCCCCCCACCCGCGACTGTCCCCGGCCAGGTCACGTTCCCTTGACCACTGCTTCATTTTTAGCACTAGACGTTCGCACGTTGATAGTTTGGAAAGACACCTTCCTCTCCCTTCTGTATACCTCTTTGTTTGAGCTGGTAGCGGACTCACAGGTCCAGAGCTCCTCCGAGCGCGGGACTCCCGCCAACCCATCGCAAACCAAATGAACACGGCTGCAGGGTTGCTCGAGGATGGAAAACTCCCCCCCCCAACAGTTGTAAAAGAAAAGGATGAACCGACAAGCTTTTCAGCGTGGGCCTTAACCTTGTCTGGTGAAGTCAACTCGAAGTGCCGGTATACCCACACCCACCCCCCCCCCAGAGGGGCAGCAAGCCACTGGCTTCGCCTGGACAAGCACCCCACCAGCAAATCCAGGAAATCCCACTGCCTCCGGCCACGGCAGTGCAGCCGAAGACTGTTTCGCCATCAGACAAGAGCCGACCGCTCCCCTTGTTTCATCAGCAGCACAGAGGAGCAAGTGTTGAAGACGCTGTGTGCCTGGCGTCGCGTCAAGCCTGCACAAGCCTCGCTAAAGCCATCAGCTGAGCCCATCTTGTGGGGTGCGTCATCTAGCATTGATGCCACACGTTAAGGTCGAGTCCGGCAGGAGACTACAAAAAAAGAAGCCAAGGCACCACCCTGCCACCTACTGGACATCCACTGAAACCAGTCTCCATACCACCCTGGCCTCCCCTCTACCCACTTCTGAGCAAGCCCCTTTAGCTCAATGAGAACAGCCACAAGTCATAGAATTCCAGTGAGCTTTATTTCTTAACAAAAACATTCCAGTCACTTCAGATCTCAACCATTTCAAGTTACCAACCCTTTTAAAAAAATCCAGCTTCACTGTAAAGTATTGCCAATTCCAAAAAGGGCCAAATTTAACTAAAAAAAAAAAGTGGTCAACACGGTTTTTCTTTCCAAATTGTCTTTTGAATTTGAAAAACAAGAATTAAAACTAAAACCAATCACTTGAAAATTTCACAGCTGTTTTTTTTTTTTAAAGACTACTCACCCAGGGGTAACAGCTTATTAGCCAATTGCTTTGTCAAACCTTAAAGGTGCTTTTATTAAGGAAGGTGATTTCCCAGCCCCCAGCCCTTATGAGTTCAGAGTGGAAGAGCATGTATTAGGATAAACGCCAATTCAAGTCCTGATTCTCCCCCACCCACTCAACCCCATTCCCCAACTTAAAACCCCAAAATAAGAAAATCAATGCATCTGTACCACAAAGCCTCCAGTTCCCCCACACAAGTCAGAAACCCTGCCCTCATGCGACGTGTACAAATGCTAATGCTGACTCGCTTCCCTGCCCGAGCTGTGGAGTAGAGAGCTCAGAGCCGGCCCCACTGAGGACACTGATGTGCCGGTGAGTGAACTTCAGATCAGACTCTTGCAGTACAGATGCATTGAGGCAGCAATCCCTCCCCTTTAAGCTTTTGGAAGAACGAGATGTTAAACGATGCCCTACGACCAGCAAATAATTGAACTTCAGGGATAAACAAAGGGATAGATGCTCCCCATCTCATTCTTCTATTTAAAGTAAACTGCTCCTAGAATTTAGGGTGAAGGCTGCAGCCTCGTCCTGGGTTAAGCAGGAATCCAAAACAGTTCTTCGCTCGGCAAAAGACAGGGATCCTCTATGCGATTGAAACTTTACCTGGAAGAAAGACGGGCTGCAGACTTTACTCCCATAACTAGATGGTCAAAAAAGAAAATTAAAAAGAAAATTAACAGGCAGCTGCCAAATCTTGCCTGCTGGCTTCAGCCCCTCGCCTCCCAGCCAGCTGGAGAGATCCGCGCTCACACGCGCACCCCAGGTCAGGACACGAGGGGCCAAGGTCCGGCTCAGGAAGGCTGCCAAGGCCAGGCGAGTGCGAGGAAGGGGCAGGCTCGGGCAGGAAGCCTGAGCTCTCCTCCGAGGTCCTTATCTCTCGGAAAGCACACGCTTTTCATTTCTACCGCTCCTGGGAACTTTCCCCACCGACACACTGAAACCTCCGCATCATTCCTGAGCAAAAAAAAGAGCATCTACCCCTCGTTGTTGACAGAGGCTCCCCGACACGCCTGCCCTGTTGGCTCGGCTTCTTGACCTCGGCGGTCACCAAGGAGCCGAGCCGAGAGCCGGCTGCTCCCAGCAGATACTTGCCGTACCTGCCCCCCCCCACCCCCACCCAAGAGCTGTGCTTCCCGAGGGGTCAGCTGGAGACGCCAACCACCACCACCCTCCTACAATTAAAGCGATCCCTTCCAGAAGCACAGCTCGGGAAAGACTTCCAAACCAATGATTTTGGTTAACAGCCTTTCACAAACCCCAGCCCCACCCCAACATCCCAAAAATTCAACCCCAAACCCTCCCCTCCCACCCCCTTTTCCTGATTCCACTTCCCCGCCTTCACCTGCCCGCCCACCCACCCACCCCCCCACACCTGTCTCTCGCAGGCTGGTCAGAGATCAGAGACAGCAGTGCAGTCAGTCTGGTTATTGCCTGACCCCATTACTCAAGTCTGTACTTTAACGCAGCTGGAGCTGCAAGTTTTTTTGTTTTTTCTGTGCAGCATCTTTTGTAAACAGAAAAAAAAGCCCCTGCTCATTCACGAGGCACCAAGGACATTCTTCCTGCTATGGTCATCGCAAATCTCTTCTTTGTGCGAAGGGCACCAATATATTAACACCTGCACACCTGGCTGAAGGTGGGTGTTTGCGTGTTGTGTGTAGGAGGGGATTGACAATTAATTCCTGCAAATTCATTTTTTAATCATCTGGGTCACATGTGCCACAGATGGGTCACTAAAAAAAAATCCCCACCCCAAACACCTGCATCTTCACCGATTAGCAAAAATAAGCCGCACTGCAGCATAGAGGACACTAAAGACTCTCCAGAACGCTTGAGCAGGTCTAAGTAATCTGGTTTACGCTTAAAAACAAGAAGCAGGGAATTCAAAACGGGTGCCTCGTAAATCAGCATTCCAAGCAAAGGCTGGACAGAAGACAGCGGTGCGTCTCCTCAGCTGTGTGAAGGACAGAAACACAAACCAGTGCTGGATCTGCAAGAGGGGGGCGAGGACCACGCCTCTGTTACCCCATCTCAACAATACTGTGGCGCAGCTGCTGCGTCAGGACAGCGGCAGCGTGGAGGCAGAGCAGCACGAGAACAAGAAACATGCTGCGCAGCCAAACGATCGTCACAGACAAATAAGTGCCCTCAAAAAGCTTATGCAGACCCCAGCCAGGTTCAGAAAAAATATCACTACCACAACGGTGAAAGGGCCAGAATCCACTTCAAAGCATGATTTCCCCAGCACTGACGTGTGTTCCCCACCTCACAGGTGTATCCCTTCAGCCATACTACTACACCAGTCCAGCCTTTTCAACTTGTTAAAAAAATAGGAACAAAAGTATTTACAAAGTTTACATTGTGCCAAAAAAATGAGCGTCTCTTGGGGGCACACATCTCGGAGAAGGGTGACTCATCCAGAAGAAAGCGAGAGAAAATGGGCTGTAAAATACTGGTCTCTGTTCCTGAAAGAAATCCTCCGGCGGCGGCGACAACTGGCCGAGAAAAGCACGAAGTCTTGTTTCCGCTCCCTTAGTGTTTCCAACTCCAGGCCAAGGAGGACGAAGAGGGTCGTCTCTGAGAAGCGCCCGCCCGCCCGCCCACTCGCTCTCTCCTGGAGACGGGACTGAAGTTTTGGCTTCTGCGAGGATCAGCCTGAGTCACTATTCTGTACCGAAGCCACGAGCAGCTCGGTCGGCCGGCGCCTGCGTTTATTTCAACCTCTCCCAGCACTCCTCCCCTCTCACGACATGTCCTGCCCTGGACGCGGACACAGACAGGACGGGACACGGGCGAAGGGTTCGGACCGGAGAGCCGGATATCGAGCCCGCGGACAGACTATCTGACGAAGTGTGGGGCGGCGAGGGGGCGGGTGGGTCCGAATTAGCAGGTTATTACTCCAAAGTTCTGCTTCATAAGGCACTTCATACAAATAGCTAAAAGCCATTAAAAGAACAAGGGAACAAAACCAAAAGGAAACTGTGGAAAACAAATCTTGGAGAGGTGGAAATAAAGCAGTGTGCCGTGGCTGAACGGGAGAGGGAAGGTGAAAACCGCTGCTCCTTGGTCCCCTGCTGTCCCCACACTGAAGTGCTCGAGTCTCGTTCAGGATCTGGGAGTGCAACTTGAGTGCCCACCACGCGCACGGGCACAGCCACGCGACCGCCGAGACCCAGCATCACCTTCCTCTCTCCTGGCGGCACACAAAATCCCCGTCTTCCGCTTGAGGCCGATTTCACGGGAAAAAAATACATGGAGGGGGTAGAAACTGAAATTAAACTAAAAAAAAATCTTCCCAAAGAAAAAGGAAGAAAACAGTTCCAACACAGGGGGAGGGGGGAAAGGCAGGGGATACGATCCTCCGTGAATTGCCTGGAAAACAGAGAAATTCACTATTAGACACGGGACTGACCGGCTCACCAACACGCACGCCTGCTTTCACTGCTAGCAATAATTTACTTAAAAGCAAAACACATGCAGAAGGCAAACAACATGTTGAATAAGCGTGTTAAACCGCCAGCTCCCACGGCCCCTCACCTGCTCACAGCTTGGCCTCCTCCCCACTCTCGCTGTGGTACTCCGCCACGTACAGGCTTTTGTCGATGCTGCCTGGGATGGGCTTGATCTCCGTGCCCAGCTGCTCCTCGATGCCCTTCAGGTTGAAGCGGTCATCGTAGGTGATCAGGTTGATGGCCAGCCCCAGGTGTCCGAAGCGCCCTGTGGACACAGCCCGACGGTCAGCAGAATGACCCCTCACGCTCCCCCCAGCTTGGGCACCTGAGCTCAATTCATTACGGCCTGTCAAACTACCTGAAGTGGGACCCTTGAGGACTCTAGGCGACTCTCACACGGTCACTGGTATGAATGGGTTTCACTCCCAACTACAGCTTTAAAGCTGGGAAACCCATCTGTGGGATGAACACGTCAAGCCTGTTCAGACCAGTGCCCAACTTCACACGACAAGAATGGAGATTTATAGGCCCGAGAGCCTTGTCCTCACTTCAGGAGAATACTTTAATGCTGAATTCATGAGGACACCATATAAAGAGTGCAGATAGAAATACGGCCGGAGCCACGTCAAGTTTAAAAAGGCTCTCCCAGGCCAAGACCGGGTGCGAAGGGCTGGCAGCCAGGGGGCACATTTTGAGCCGAGGTACGCGTGCAGGTGAACCCGGGAGACTGCGGTCAAGAGTCCGCGCGAGGCTAGAGAGCAGCGGTGCCCCTACCGGATCGGCCAATGCGATGGAGGTACGTCTCTGCCAGTTTGGGGAAGTCAAAGTTGATCACCACATTCACAGCTTGGATGTCAATTCCTCTGGTGAAGAGGTCTGTGGGAGGAGAGGAAGAGGTGGTCAGAGAAGAGCAAGAGGTCCTGCACAGCTCGTCCTGGCTGTTTGAAGCCTAGCAGCTGAAAAGACCTGGAAACGAAGACCACAGCAGAAGCTCAGTGCTGACAAGGGCACAAACCCCACCTCCATCAAGATGGGTTTCTCCAGCACGGCCTCTGCGTGACGTGGGAGGCGTTTAGCTTTCACAGCAAAAACTAGAACTACCTCTACAAAACACGGAGCCAACGACTGACATTGCAAGAACAAACAAAGTTGCATACAGGTGACCTCCAAGTGAAACAAATGCCTCTTTCTATAGAAAGAGATAAGACACCCAGCATTTATCTCCCATTTTAGAAAAACATTTCTAAGAACCCCGGCTGGTTACAAAAGCAAACATTCTCAAGTACATCTCTGCATCTCAAACATCTCTGCAGCTGCCATAAACCAAAACCAGGAAGGCTTACAAACACATCCTGTCCTTCGACTTGCATTCTAAGAGGCACCACACCTCTTGGCGCATGTGGAGACAATAAAAACCTGCTACAGAGCAGTGAAGTCAACGCAGAGACGCCGGGCACTGAAGAAGACTCACCAGTGCAAACGAGATTTCGACACAGGCCGTTTCTGAAATCGTGGAACACCCGGTTGCGATGCTCCTATAAACATTTAAAAACAAAAGTCAGGCCGAGCCAAGATTCAAGCGTAGAAGCCCTAGAAGACTGTAGCAAAATGGAATTGCAACTTCAGGCACTGGACAGTTTCACTGCAGATGCTCACACTAAAGGCTGGTGATATTATCTAGTCGTGTGCCGACAGCACCCTGAAATATTGTAAAGGTTAACTCCCCCTCCAGAGAGAAGCATCAGGAGAAAGCAGCACTTCCTGGGTGGTGGGAGTGTGGAATAAGCTACTCAGTCAGGTTGTTACAGCTAAAAATCTGTCAAGAAACGGCTGGATGAGACCCTTATACCTATTTGCTACTAACTACCAGAAAGGCCAGCCAGGCCCTAGAGCCTCCTGTCTAAGACCTCTCAGGTTCTTAAGCTGGTGAGCTCACTTCACTGAAGCCCAGGGAGCCTTTCACCTAGTCCTCTTCTCGTTGAGTTTAAACCATCAACAATAAATGAAAGGAAGTTTGAGTTTGACACGAGCTTAGTCACCTGTCGCATCTTGGCATGAATGTAGAAACAAGAGTAGCCCAGCTGGGAGATCTTCTTGGCGAGCAGCTCGACGCGCTGGGACGAGTTACAGAAGATTATTGACTGGTTGATCTGGAGCTGGGGTTTAGAAAAGAAAAGAAAAAACAATCTATAACTCCAAAAGCTCCAGATATTTCCAATGGACACTCCTCCCTGAAAGGGCTCGTTCAGAGTGTCCGGGAGTGAAGGCCAGCAGGAACAAGCACCCAGAGGCAGGAGATGGTCATTAGCAGCCATTTAAAACAAGGAGCCAGTGGCAGAAAACAGTCAAGTACTAAATACAAAATATGTAATTGAAAATACCATGATGCAGGCAAATACAGCACTAGTTCAGAGTACTGCAGTATGATGTTTATTTTGAAATGAGAGGTCAGTCGCAGCGGAGGAGACTCACCCTGGAGAAGAGAGTGTTAAGGCAGTGGACCTTCTGTCTCTCGGTCACATAGGCGTAATACTGGGTCACCCCCTTCAGAGTCAGCTCCTCCATCAGATTGATCTCGTAGGGCTTCTGCAGATGGGCGTTCTGCAGGAGGCAGGGGAAAGAGCAAAGCCGCTCAGATTCTTTGGCAGACCTGGACGTGAGATCAGGACTTTTCCACAACCAAAAATAACACCATGACTTCAAAAGACCACCACAAAAGAAGACGTCCAGCCAAGAACCCCCCACTCACTCCAGCATGTCTCCCTGAAAACAGCCATCTGTACTCCAGGACAGCTAGCTATTCTGTGCGCGCTGAGCAATTTCAATCAATGGATTAGATCCCAGTAAGAGATGCATGTGGAATGAGACATACTTGTGAAGTCAAGTCAAGTCTATCGTGGATATTAAAGATAGGAAGACAAAGAAAACTAATCCGCCAATAACCCCCAGGCCCCTCACTTGGTCAACTACGCTCATCAGCTCAGACTCACCATGAACTTCTGCACACTGAGAGGGAACGTAGCAGAATACAGCAGGATTTGCCTGTTTTTAGGTAGGGTGCTGAGAATTTCCTCCATCATCTGCACAAAGTCCTGGGACAGGAGCTTATCAGCCTGCTCGGGCCAAGAGGGAAGGGAACAGAATCAACAGTGAGTTTTGTCAATCGCTGACCTTGGACACTTCCCACAGAAAACGCGGTCATTTCTCCCCCCGCCCCAAAAGAGCACTTTCGGCTCCATGACCAACAGAGAAAGGCACAAGGTTGATTCTAGGCTGTAAAGGAACAGAACCTCTTTCATCCTCAAGAGGCACAATAGTTTTCTAATTCTCAGAAGTTCACTGTCAACCAAAGGGTCTCTGTGAGCCCCAAAGAAAGGAACATCGTGTTCCAGGGACAGACTATCCAACCATCACCGGCTTCCTTCAGGACTCGCCTGAGCCAGCTCTTCAGTGCAGACAGGATTCTACTCCACACCAGCTAAGCTAGGTCAGGGTCTGCCTGTGTTCATGCATGAAACCTAATGTAGAAATCAAGAAATTCGAGCCTGAAGTGTTCGTTTGTCCAGCCAAGCTTTATTGCATGCATACAAGGAACCACAATAAGGACAATAATAGTTACAGTACCTATCGTAGCTCAAAGGGGATATGGCCCTACAGAACTTTATATACACTTTCCCCCCACGTCTTTGATGTAATTGAAGGAAATAGAAACCTTCCTTTGTCATTAGGAGTTTAATGTAAACATTCACCATTTGGGGGTAAGTATGGGGGGGGGAGCCTCTCTGATCAAGCAGGCGTGATCGTCACAGTTCAGCATGTAAAAACTGTTAGCAGGCTCCATCACTAACAAGCACCAGCCTGGCAATGAGACTGCAGGACTGCACAGCCCGGCCCAAGCAGACCGGAGCTCTGCCGAAGAAAAACAAATGGAAACTGGACTCACCTCATCCAAGACTATCATCTGCACCTGACCCACTTTGGCCACCCCCTTCTTGATGAGATCCAAGATCCTCCCAGGGGTGGCGATAACCACATGCACTGCGAAGAGGGAAAAACAACAACCGTGAAGCCCGTGGCGATCAACAACAGCAGCGCACCCAGGCCGAGGGGACCTGGGGAGCCGCATCGCGCGCCGGAGACGGCGGCAGGGGGCTCACCCGTCTCGTCCAGCCTCATGATGTCGTCGCGCAGGTTGGTGCCCCCTGTGGTTGCCATGACTTTGACGCCTCCCATGTGTTTGCTGACCTGGATGCAGATCTGACTCACCTGGAGAGCCAGTTCTCTGGTGGGAACAATGACCACAGCTGGGGGAGGGAAAGGGAGCAGACAAACCCAACACGTTCAGGCGTCGCACAGCACTCGCGCCCGCAGTCCAGCCTCAGGGACTAGAGTGACCGCGCGCACGGAGCTGCCCTCTGCCTCGGGCGAGGACAAGAACCAACCGTCGACAGCAACACCTACACAGTGCACAAATCCCAAGGTACAGCGCACACAACCAGCTAGTTAAAGAAACGGCTGTGAACATTATTTTTTTGTACACCATGAATAAAAGAACAGACAAACGGTTGCCAGGCTGCGATGTCTGGAGGTATAGAAGTGCACCCTGTGAAGGAAGCAGCGCTCAGAGTCCTCACAGACGCACCCCAGCACGCCCCCGACTAACTCAGGACTGCTCTGCACTGCCTGTTTTACAGGTGTCCAAGCCCCCCACCCCTCGGCCCCCCCCACCTTGTATACAGTCCCTCTTCAGGTCGATGCGTTCAAGTAAGGGGATGAGGTAGGCGCCGCTCTTGCCCGTGCCGTTCTTCGCTCTGGCCAGGATGTCCCTCCCGGACAAGGCGATGGGAATGCTCTCCTCCTGGATTCGGGAGAGGAGGAGGAAATCAGGGTCGACACTTCAGGGGGGGGGGGGGTAGAAAACCTGCCTCACTTCTGTCCTTCCCCGGTTAAATCCGCCAGCGCGGGGCCCCTCGCCCTCAGCACTGCCGCGAGGTCCAGTGCGAGTCTGAGCTCCAAAAGCACCTTCATATCCACAGTGCCACAACCAGCCGAGTGGGTGACACACTGATGAGCCTAATGAGGCCGACAACCTCACAACACACAGCTGCCATTTTTCACTTTTCCAGCCAGCCTATTTGGCAGCTTTGTGCTCTGAGGCCGGCTCGGACTCCACCACCCCCACACCCTCACGGCCACTCGACGGCCCCTGACCTGGATGGGAGACGGCTTCTCCCAGCCCATCTCGAAGATGCCCATCAGCAGCTCCCGCTTCAAGCAGTAATCCTCAAACTCGTTGCCCTTGGTCGCCGTCACATCCTGGAGAGAGAGAGAGAAGCGTTTTGAGGTCTTCAGCACTGTATTCTTTGGGCTTTCTTCTTTAACTCTCTTCCCGTTTCCCTTAATGCTTTTGAGCCCATTGTGGTTTGGGACTAAATGGGTCGGTGTCACTCCCTTCTTATTAAAGCCTGACAAAGCTACGCCAACCATCCCTGTTGCAGAGCTCACCTTGAGCTCCAGGACCGACCTCTAACAGACTCTCCAGACGCTTCTCGCCTGACCGGCGGGCGCAGCAGCTCCACACACACCCCGCCGCCCGCCTGCCCGCCCGGCTGCAGTTACAGTACAGAGCTCAGAACACGCGCTGCCCCTTTAATCAACGCACTTCGTTAAAACGCTCATCCGCTCGACCGCTGAGCCTGCGCGGGACCCGGGTTTGGACTTTCATGTCAAGGGGGTGGAAAACATGTTCACAGCTGAACTCCTCAGATCAAAGGAGTTCATATGCTGGTATTTTATACCCCACTAAGGCACAGATGTAGAAGTGTGCCAGGTCATGGGAGTATGTCTCCCCAGTGCTGGCACTATACACAGAGCTCACATTTTAAAATAAGTCACTGCTAGCACCTCACAACCACAGGCTAGTGCTTCCACAGTGCTGAATGAAAAACATTTCATGAGTCCAAAAGCTGACAAATTTTAAAGAGACTCCCACATCACCTTTACGATCTTGATACCCTAGTGACAGTCCTGCAGTGACTCCTGTCCTCGCACCAGGGGATGCCTGCCTGCGCAGTTCTTACTCTTGGCGTCTGTAGATCACCAGTCCCCACGGGAAGCAAAATGGGGAATGAGGATACGTACGACATCCCACAGCTGTGACTCTAACAACATAAAACAACCACCATCCAACATGCGCGTCAAAACATGCATCAGCCCCCACATGTGAACAAGCCAAAAAACCTACTACAGCACTTATTACACAGTGAGGCATCTGCAGTCCAGTCCCACAGTAAGGAAAGGGGCACATGGAAAACAGCGCAGAACTTCAGCATCAGACCCCAGACAGAGGAGCTAGAAGGGTCAAGTCCCCCTTGTCTTCGGGGCTGAACGACATCAGTCCCCCAAAAAAGTAACGCTGGATCTCGGAGCCCAGAGCAACAGGCCAAACGGTACGAGTGCACCCTGTGCCAGCCTCCAACTCCCCTGCTGCCGCCGCTCAGCTGAAAGCCAAGCCTGCCACTCCGAGCACTTCTCTGGCTTCGGAGCGCTGAAGGGAAAAAGCCAAGGAGACTCCCACAGTTAAGTCAAGGCCTGACGACAAGCCTGAGAGAAGCCCTTACGCCAGAACGCAGCGGAAAGCCTTCTTGAATCCTCATTGTGAACACGAGTCGTGAGAAGCCCCCCTGCAGGAGCTGCCCATCTAAAAGAGCGACACTTGAACGAAGGCGGGAATCTGGCTGAAGGTCTTCCAAGAAGGCAGGCTTTTTGAGAACGCACAGTCCCCACAGCCCCCCCTCAGCCCTGCGCGCCGGAAGAGAAGAGCAGGCGAAACGCAGAAGGAGGGGAGAGGCGTCTTACCGAAGTCTTCATCCGCATGTCCTTCGGAGGGAGTTTCAGATTCTTCTTCCAGTCGTCGCCTGGCCTGCGGAGGGCGAGAGGTCAGTTAGCAGCAGCCGCGCGTCTCGGCCACTGAGGCCGTACCGCGCACTGGTCGGGCCAAAGAAACGAGACCGCCATCCCATCAGCACCTGCGACAGGGGCGGATCACAGACGTGGTCAACCAGGAGGCTGGAGTGAACCCACAAAAACAAACCGCAGCCCAGCGCCTCTCGGCCCACGGCAAGCAGGTATGGCTCCCTTCTCCCTAACTGGCAAACTTCAAAGGGGACCAGCTAACCACTGGTTTATCATTACACATACTCAGATTCTCTTCTTATGCTTTTTACACTCAACAAAAACCTCAATCGCACCTTGAGGGAATTTCTCAAGAGAGAATTCCCGCAAAGCAACTTCTCATAGGTGCGCCATTTTGAGACCTGCAAAGGGACGCTAACTGCAAAGTATGCAGGTTTAGATGGCAATATAAAAATTAAAGAAGCCGCCCACGTGTTATGGAGGCTGACAACTGGATAAATTTAAAAAAAAAAACAGCCTCATGAGATCTTTAGAGCAATCGGTGACTGGAAATCTGGGACCTGACGTTCCAGCCCAGCCTCCTTAACGCACAACTAATGGCCCAACTTGGAGCAAGAGGCTTCTGAAGCTTGAATGCAAAACACACAAAAAGACAACTTCCGACACGCAGAGGAGTGGAACAGCACCACCAGACCTCGGTTGTCCCTAGACAGTAACTCATCAGCCCCCACTTTCCTCACCAGTGCTAAACCATTTCAGCACATTGCAACCCCTGGACAAGACCCGTCGAGGAAGGAGCTGAAAATCCCTTCCTCTCAGAGGGAAAGGGGTGAACAGGTTTTGTTTAACAATAGCTTAGTGCTCTGAGGAATAAAGCATCCAAGCAGGAGTCGGGCAGAAGTACAGGAACACGGAGAAGTTGGTTTGGGTGTCCGGAGGGAACGAGGTGGCTGTGAGCACATGCCAGGAGAGCGCATCCCCCCCACACAGCTCCCCTCCAGGGCAGCAGCACCTGGATCTGCGCAGAGGCGGGCCTGGACGATGACATGGTGTGGACCTGCCTGCTCACAGGACTGCGCTTTCCAGCTGCTCACAGAAACGCGCAGGAGAACTGCGGATTCGGGATGACGGGAGGCGACTGACTGCTCCCAGCAGGAAAGTGGACGGAACCCGAGACGCGGGAGGAAGCTCCTGATGGCCGTTCCCCGACACGGAAGAGAGCTCAGGACGGAGGACCGCCGGTCAGACGCCCACGTTCCGCCCCAGAGGCGGGACGGAAGCAAGACTCCTGATCCTGGCAGACCGGGCCGGTCCGGTTTTCACAAGCTGCAGGCCGGCTCCGACTATATAACCGGCCATCAGCCGATGTGCATCACTTACACACGCCCCCCTTCCTCACCTCCGTCCTGCCCTTCATGTGCAGATCCGGGAAATAAGAGCTGAACCGAAACGCTTCAGCTTCACTGCTCTTATGTTTTTTTCACCTGTGACTACCGCTGGGGAAAGGAACTCAAACGACATCCAGACGGTATTCATACACGCCGGCCTACACACCCGGCCGGCCCGACCCGACCCGTGGAGCTGGCACAGCCCGCACCCTGCCGCCGCCCTGCCACCGAGGGAAACGGACCGCAGGACAGCGGTGTGGCCAGAAGCCCGCAGCAGATCGGGGCACGAGCGGGCTCCCCCGGGACCCCCCCACTTACTTGATGGCGGTGTTGGCAGGGGGCAGCAGCTGGGAGCTGCCGTTGTTGATTGCGCTGGAGGTCTTCATCTGGCCGCTGGGCTGGGACGGGGGGCCCCCGCCGCCCCCCCCAGGGCCCCCAGCCGGCTTCACGGGGCCCCGGATCTGCCCGTTCTGGCTGGACAGCCCCAGGATGACCGGGTTCTCTGTTCTGGCCGTGCTCATGGCTGCGCCGAGCTCCTGCAAGAGTCCCCAACTGCTCCTATTCTCTTTCCAACGTCCCCGCCTTAACACAAAAATCCTCAGTCCGCTTCTAAAGAAGGTTTCGCAGGGAAATTTGAAACAGTCTTTTCCCCCCTTTCTCCTCTTGATGTGAAAAACTCAAATCAACCAAGTATCAATACACCTATTTCTTTGTCACCAATCGAGCCACCTTATTCCTTGGTAATTTAACTCCTTATAGTGGAACGTCGTCTTCCAAGTATCGCTCAGTAAATGAGTCTCTAATATCACGATGCAGGAAAAGCACCTTTTTTTAAAAAAAGTTAATTTTATGCAAGTGTATAGTCTCGCTCTAAAACAATCCAAGAGTCACTCGCACCACTCCTGCGCTGCCAAAGACTTTAAAATCCACCTCGTGTTCGACACTCCTGGGAAGTAATCCTTCAACGGTGTCCTTGGTCATCCTGGAAAAAAAAACACCATAGGTTCAGTGGGGAAAAAGATGAAGACAAGAGGTAAAAAAGGGCAAGAGAGACACAACCGCAGTGCAGCGCACGCATATGAAGAGAAGAGCCTGGACAGCAGCTCAAGGTGTTGCAGGCCGATGCTTACAAACCAGTCCTGAAAACTGCAGACCTTCAGCTGAGAACAGCTGACCCACACAGGCAAGCGGATCAATATTACACCTGGGTCGTTTCATCGAAACCGGAAACTGAGTAGCATTGCTGCAGTGTTTCCGTCCGCTGACCCTCCAGAACACACGCCAACCACAGGGGGACAACCGCTAGGCGAGCTGGACAGTCCTCTGGCTCACCGGCACCTGTGCCATGATGCGACAGGGAAAGCCAACATCATACCCAGCACAAACACGGCCAGCGCAGGCCCCTGCTCCTGTACTACACCTGGCCACGGTGTCTGACCGCCGCTAAATATCACAGGGAAGAACACAGCTCACACCTCAAAGCCAGCTCAAGGGTTCTTAAAAGGAGTGTGTGTGTGTGTGTCTGTAGAGGGCACCTGTGATGAAATAAACCAACAGTAGCTGTCAGATCCCCACTGCTTCTTCAGAAGCAAGCAGCCACGTCAAACTGCGCCAGAAGAGCTCACAGCCTCCTCGCAATGAACTGGCCGAAACACAGCACTTCCACTACGAAAGTGTACAATTTTACAGGACCACCCAAGGGCCGACACAGCCGTGGACAAACCCAACGACAACGTTCCTACTTCAGGTGTAACTCAACTTTCCAGACGTCGTTTAAGGTTGCACAACAGCACTTCTTCCCCAATATATAGCGCCATGGAGAGAAAATAGCCGACTGAACAACTCAGCAACAGTGACAATGGTAAACGGGTCGGAGTCGATGACCACTTATAACACTGCTTCAAAAAGAGGCCTAGATCCACCCACCACCCAAAGCTGATCTGATGATGAGAAATAAATACAAAACAGAGAAAACACTTAGTGGAGACGGTGGGGGAAGCAAGATTAATTTGTTTTGCCATTTTCGGCGTCGGCAGACCGACAATCCCACCATTTCAGTCCTGTTATTCAGTCCAGCACCGCGGAGCTAATTTAGACGTGTTGTGGCCAAATAATTTTAAGAAACAGGGGGATGGAGGGGTCGCATCGCTTGCGGACGTACACAGAAATAAACACGTCGAGCAAATGAAAAGTTAATCGTCGTTAATTCAATAATCCCGGCCGGGGGTCGTGTGCGATTTCGCCCCCGGAGTCGCCTCAGACGCAGCGTCGGATTCAGAGCCGCTCTTTCGCGACAGCCTTCCAGCCAAAGCAAAGAAAAATAATAATAAAAAAAACACAAATAAACCCGATTACTTTGAGTAATTCACCGCGAAGTGACATTTCCCATCGTCTCCTTCCTGATGATGAAGTATCTCGCCTTCTTTCGATTAAAATAACATTAAATCGCACGACCGGCTGGCCCCAATCCCCAACCAAAAAAAAATAAACAAAGCCTTTACTACCAAAACGTCTCTTCTGACACTAACAAGTTAACTGAATTTAACATTTTAATTCGGCGAGGGTCGGGGGACAGAGGTACCGTTTGAGGAGAAAACACCGTAATGGAAACAAGGCAGTTGCCAACAACGTCATAGGGGACACAAAAAAAAACCCAAATATACCCCTTTCATCATTTACAATACAAAAAAATAATGCCCTACAAAATAAAATCGGGGTGCTGTAAGTGTATAAAATGTTAAAAAGTTGCATATTTACCGCGGATGGCTGCGATGATCAGCGTATTTTTGGCTATTTCTCTTATTTTTGTGTGAAGCATATTTTGTTTGGACAGAAAGTCCAAGATGGCCTCCTTCCCTTCTTTAAACCCTCCCCGTTTCGTCAGCTGACGAAGTGCTGTAATTAATCACCACAGAAACACTCGAATCTTTACATTTATTCACTCTCTTTAAAAAAACGTTTTGATTCTTCTAGAAATCTGACTTTTAATAGGTTTTTTTTAAAAAACAACGCCGATATAATTTCCGCTTGATGTCGATGATCAAGATATTCATCTCGTGTGAGATATTTAAATAGTTTGACGTTTTAGCTCGAAAACCACGCCTTCACCCAGGTCAGCTGTCACCGTGTTTTCTTCCTTCTGTTTATTTATGATGGGTTGTCGCCGCTGTCGAAGCAGGTGCTTTGAAAATCTTTTCATTTTCAGACAGCACTCACAAAAGGCGTGGTCAATAAACAGTAACCTTTTTCTTCAGGGCGATTCTGTGTGTTTGCAATCGTGCACACACGTCCATGAGGAGAAATTTAAATCGAATAGTCGTCTTCAAATAAAAAAAAAAAACACTCTGCCCAATCTGTTTAACATAACCGCAACTATTACGGTGAATTACATAGGTCTGTGTGGTTGCGAAGTGCTTCCTTTTGTAGACCGACAGAAAATAAAATTAAGAATCTGAACAACCGACATTTCTGATCTGGTATTGTGATCTGGGATAAGGGTTATTCGAGGTGACGGGCTTCCTGTTTTATTGTGTGATTGAAAACGGGAAGAAATGTCCTTCAATGGGGCTAAATTGCCCGTCTATTCTCTTTCTATCCACTGGTTCCCAGTTCAGGGCTGAGCTTACAGATACAAGTGTATTTAGCCTGAAATATGTGAACCACAGAGGCCATTCAGCTAATTGTGTGACTTGATAAAAAGTAGTTTTGTGCCCCTGAAATAATTTAGGTTTTCAGTAACAAAGGTGGTGGATACTTATGTAAATATATTTTATACACACACTCACACAGGACACCAGTCCATCGCAGGACACACAAACACACTGGACAGGGCACCAGTCCATCACAGGACACCAGTCCATCGCAGGACACACAAACACCCTGGACAGGACACCAGTCCATCGCAGGACACAGAGAGAGAGAGAGAGGGAGGAATAACGCAGACAGTTTCTTCTAATCCCAGTCGAAAACAGACTGTGTTGGATTTTGTGTGACTGAAACCCATCTTAGATTTGCTTAAGTCAGAAAAATGCTCTTTCAGTTTCAGCGCTGTCGATATTACTGTTTTCTGTTTTTAATTTGACTGGTAAGAGTTTTGATACAGATTGGTGCGAATCGAACCCGAAACAAGCGCAATGCCAACTGTGAACTAAAACACGGCATTGTTAAACTGGTTTCAATGACACTATTTATAATTCACACTTTTATTTTCAAAATTGTTAACCGAGAAAGCTCGGGTCAACTGCATCGATGGCAATAATTGCATATGTGGTCGCGGCAGTAAAATATTATTAAAATATTATCTTCCAGTAGTACGTTCAATATTTCTTACCTCCAGTTTCTAGCGGAAACTATGAAAAGCTAAGCACGGATATATATATATATTTCAATGTATTTGAGGAGGGATCCGAAGTTCGTACAGCTAAAAGTATGAGAAAGACGTTTTATACACCGTATATATTTGAGTACTATAATTTCACACTATTAGATGTTGTCAGTTATTTCTACAGAAAGAAAAGTACTATTAGCTCCTGGGATCAGCTGCTGAGCACAGCGATGTAGCTCTTGTAGACAGGCGGCCCACTCAAACCGGTGTACTTCGTCTCTGTACTCTCATGAGGCTGGGGGGTGTGTCTGCCATGTTTACACGTTGTCGAAAGAACGCGGATTTCCTAAGTGAATAAATACAAGGCGTCACTTTCAAACAATGCAAAGTTCATACGAATTGTGATCAAAGGTCATCAAACCTGTACCTAAATGTCTCCGGCTCATCCTTTTTGTTTCGAAAACCTCCAGGTAAGAAATCATGGAAATCACTTCTGACCAGTGAGCATTCGGTTTCAAACATCCCATTCACTTCATCCCCGCCTCGGCCTTGTGTGCAGGGGTCTGATCCAGTCCGACGTGCGTTTACTGCCTAGAAACGTGTCTCCAAAACGCAACCAGCACGCTGGGGGGTAATGACCCTATTTGCAGCAGGACTCGGGTCACACAAACTAGAGTTCTGACTGTCTTTATTCAGTCTTAACTGCATGGTGTAAAGCCATATTTCATGATCAGTCTCGAATGAGCGCGCCAGCTCCCTCCAGCGCCCAGACCGCTGTCAGCACAGGAAGCGGGCGCAGCTCAAAGAGTCGGGCTGGGTGCTGCTCCCACAGATCAAGGACTCCGCACTCGAGACGAGACACCGCACACCAGCATGAAGCAGTTCTACAACACCATGCCCATGTCCTTCGAGGTGAGTGCCGCTGTATTTCCGCTAGCAAGAGGCGCTATATTAAAAAAAAAACATCAGCTACAAAAGGCGCTATTAATAACGTCAGTCCAGAAAATACTAATAATAACGGTGATGATAGAACTGTATCTACACGATGTGTCTGTTTCTGTCAGATTTGCTCTTGCATAGATCCTGACTTGGCTAAGGGCTGCGTTTGTACGAATTGTCTTGAAAACGTGTTGTCGGGTGGCAGCTTTGAAGTTCTCCTCCTCCTCTCACTTGGGGACTTTCTGGAGGGTTCTCTCAGATTTCTCAGTCTACTGAGAATTAAGCCAAGCTTGGCACCTCAACCCAATGGTTTTAAGTCATTATGCACAGACTCATGTAGTGCACTGTTAAACACAGTTGACATTACTACACCAACTTGCACAAACACTGCTCACGCTTGCTCCTGCCAGTTCTGAGTACTTCTGTCAGCAACATGTAGTGCTTCTGCTGCCGAAGTCCCTGCCAAGGGGCTACAGTCGCCAGCAGCTCAGCTGTGACTCCCAGTATTACTGCCACCACTGTCGAACCTGGGGGCCGCTGCCTCTCACCACACCACAGTAATAAAGGTAGGAGTAGTTCTTTTGTTAGCAAGTGGTGGTTAAAATGGGGAAATGAGTCTGTCTGTCTTCTACAGCTGTTACTTTACCAGGAAGAGGAGAAAGAAGTCAATAATACTGCATCGGGTCATTAGTTCACACACAATCAATGTGTCTGTTATCCTGGTCCACATCTGTATTTTTAATACACAGTCATGGTGATTTGCATGCCTACAGAAAAACAGTGATTGATGATTAAAAAGCAATGAACAAAATTATGCTCTCACCTCGTTAATCATCCTACAAATCTTAGTAATATTGATCTTAATGGTGATACAACTTTTAACAGAATTGCATAAGACATTTTTTTCTTTTGACTCAAAAATGCCATTCAGGCCAGGAGAAAAAGCATGTGTGCCGTTTTCAGCTGGGATTGTTTCTTTTTTTTCTACACGTGGGTTTATATATTTAATGTCTTCTCGTCGACAATGTTGCCTCTCTGAAGCTCCACCAGACTGAAGGACTGATGGTTCCCCTTTGCTTAACTCGGTCTTAGTCAGTGATCTTCAAGACTGCACGGCCTCTTGGAGTCCCACGCGGCTCAGTGCTCGCTGACAGGTGCTTGCCCACATGCCACATGCAGTGTGTGGGACTGCAAGCACAGGACTTTAGCTTTTCAAAGCTGCACACGCCTCACTCCACAAATACTGCAGCACTTTGTTAGAACAATCATAGAATGATCACGTGCATTCGCAAGCTCTTTTCAAGAGAAATAAATACAATCATGACCATTAAAATGAACACTTTTAATTCACACTTTGATCTAAAGCCACTGAAGGTTTGATTTATTGAGGACACAGAAACTTCTGTGCTCCTGCAAGATTTGAACCTGCAATCCACACCCTAACTACTACCCCACAGAACAGCTCTCCAGTGCAATAAACACTTAGAGATTTAGCAAAATACCATTTTTACCTGCAAGTTTAAACAACTTGTAATTTCTTTTCAATCGTTGTGTTGGGCGAGAAGTTCTTGTTTCCTTCGTTAAAATTATTCGTGTTCCAAATAATGGCTCTCCAAGTTGAGCTAATGAGTTAACGAGTTCTTGAAAGCAGCTCTCAGCTGAGGGGAAAACTTGTCTGGTCTTCTGCTTCTACAGAGAGTTTGAGCCGTAATATTTCTTTCCTGATTTTATATTAATGAACGTACACGGTGCCTGCTGTGTTCTGAGTTCCTGGTGTGTCATATTCCCAGCTGCTTTCCTGTAGCAGGTTACTGACTCCTTATTAGGATTAACACCTTATTAGCAAGCAGTAATTTCTTGGGAATTCATTAACCCTATATACTTTGCCCAGGAATTAGTTAGTTCATATAATTACTGTTTGATAATTAAATGCAACTATGTAATAATTAGTAAAAGTCTGAATGTAAATGATAGAATTCAAATTGGCAAAAATACTGTGAATGTTTTGTTAAATTTTGAATTTGGTTCCGATGACAAACTGTCGAAAATTCCACTGCTTTCAATTCATGTTTTATGCAGATGGTGTAAGATATATTCACCATCACTTTTCTTAATGTGCTATTTTTCTTCAAAGCATACTTATAAATAATCGGCCAGTTCGATTATAAAGTGAGAAACATAAAAAGAAAATTGTGTTTTTAGGTTTTACACAAGGTTTAAATTCCTAAAAAAAAAACCTTGTGTTTCGAACAAAGTTCTCACTTTGTCTGATAAAAATGTGGTCGAGTCCAGCAGACTAGAGGACGTTCAGACCTGCTGCGTGCGAAGATTTGATTACTAATTCCGAGAGGTCAGGACACCAGGCTCCAGATCTGTCCTTGCTTCTCCTCAACAAATTATTTTTTTCAATATTAAAATGTGAGTACTACATATATTTTCAGTTATTTATTTGTACACTGTAGTCCAACCTACTATAGAAAAGAGTATATAAACAATTTTCTGAGCAGTTAAAGTATTGTATATGCGTGTATATCTAAACTGCAGTATTTACAGAAGAAAAATCATTATTATAATTTACTTCTAATTCCAATTGCTGTGCTTATTTTAGGAATTGCCATATAAAGATACAACCCTAGTAATTACCCCTACCTTTTCGCTGTAATCCATTCACTGCAGCATCATTTCAAGACAAGCAGAGCAGCCTTCAGCACAACAATATCGTTTCATCACAGCAAACAGAGTCAACAGAACTCATCACTTCTGTAAGTTGTTACCTGAACGTGTGCGCTAGACCTAACACCAGTGAAGTGTCGTTTATTTTTCAGCCATGACAAAATTACAGTAACAACTACTGGAAATACTTCTGGTATCTATAGAAGATCTACTCAGTGACTGAACATTGATGAAACTAGATGTTAAAGCTGGATCTACGGTTCCCAGTGTCTCTACACTGGTAAACACTCTCTCACGTTGTAGCAGGCTCCTATACTGTGGTATTTCTCTCGCACGCTCGTTCCTTTGTATTGGCGATACACAAGACCGTCTGATTTCCATCACGTGTAATTAATTTACGCCGTATCATAACAAGTCCCTTTTTTTACCTTCCTGAGTTGATCTTTTGCATGAATTGATTATATCTCATATTCTACAATAGTAAATTAGGTCTGAACATATACAATGATTTATTTTTATTCATTAAAGACAAACATCGATTCATCCTTCAAGTTCTGGTTCCATGAATACACCCGGAATTAGTGAAGCTCTAGAAGTGCACATTTCTGAGGCCCGACCTATTCCAGGTAGATAGAAACATGCCCAAAGGACTATTTTAGGAAGAACAGCACGCTGACAACGCAGATAACAAACTGAAATATCAAATATCTCCTTCTGAATATTATTTCAATACTGCGTGCACAAGCGAGGTCTTATTCCACCAGCTAGCGGCTTCTCTCATGACAGCAGAAACTACCCTTCCGCCCTCTACACTCTTCGCAAGAAATAAAAGATGGTTTTTTTCCGAAAGAAAATTACATTTTGACATTTAAACTGTGTGCCCTTTAATCTCTCCGCGCTCCCTGAGAGCAAAACGGAGCGACGAGTCAAAGTAAAGACGTATTTAGGCCACGGAAAAAAACTCCATTAAATAGGGCAAGTAGGCTGAAGCTGTCGTTTGCCCTGTCGTGTGACCGGACCGAGGTGTTGGAGTGGAGCGGTGACGGTATATCTGCGCGCTGCAGTCGGTACCGGCCGGACACCCCGCGCCACCTCAGCCTTCCCTCCTCTCACCCCGATTCAGTACGGAGGCGCATTCCAGCTGTCAAAGACTGTGTATATATATATATTTCATGTGGTATCTCGTAATTACGAGAAAATGATCTTGTTATTACTAGATACCGATGATCATTGAACAAGCTGTTCCGTTATGCAACGAGGAAGCTACAGCACCTCTGGCGCAGCCGGACTGGGTTCAGTGATCGTGACCATGTCCAGAATGCGCACGGACTGACAGTCCACTGGGCTTCAGTTATAATGACATGTTACTGTTTGCGCCTAATCTGACCCCCTTCGCAATAAGCATGAGGACAATCGGACAGGAAAGAGCGCACCGCGGAAAACCTCAAGTCCACAAATGCTAATGTAGGTGTTGAACGACAGTTGTACTATTATCACGTGAAGTGCGCGATAGTCATTACAAGATAGCACAGGAAATATTTTTTCGTTGTTCTTGATGGCACCAGTGCCTCTGTCAGCCCCACCATGAAACTGCCCGTGTGTCCGTGTGTCCGGCTGTTGGAGACCCAGCGCGTGTTTCAGTGTGGGCGAGACTGCTCCCCCGTTTCCCGCTTGGAAAGACGGCAGCGGTCGCGTGAACCGCGCGCCCCACCCTCTCACTCTGAGGTGACGGCAAGATCAAACAATTTAAAAAGCAAGGCAGGCGCAACCGGCTTCTACAGAGTACAGTGCAATCCCGAATCTCGTTATCACGCTCTTTTTCACGTTTTTGTGTCCTGCGGTTTGTTTGTTTTTTTTATGCAAGATGGAGAACTCTCCCCGCTGTCCGCGCCGCGCGCCTCACACCTCGGCGAGGGCCGCGAGTGGGAGTGGGATGAGTCAAGAGATTACATCACCCATACCTGCTGCTCCTACATTTTCTGGCAGCGCACCGGAAGTCATTTGCCTACTGCACAGTTATTAAAAACAATAACAGCAGCGTATGCATCTTAAACTGGGACTCGAGTCGCCCACGGAACGGAAAAAATAATACAAAAAATTATTAAAACACGACAGGTGCAGCTGCTAAATACTTGCACTGGCACCTCAAGCCACACTTAAATATCCAGTGTCTAAAATATAGTAAAGACAATTTGAAAACGTTCCTTTTAAACGGAGTGCATCCCAGGACAGGACAGCTATCAATCAGATCACAGAGGCGTCATTGTCTCTTCGTGGTCACGTGTGAATTCCGGTTGACAGAAATACGATCCGTTGCAAAGAAGAGCGAGTTTCGGGTTTATTTCATGACTATCTGCTGACGCGAAAGAAAATCTGAAAAAGAGGTTACATTAAAATAAACCCGTGCTAAAGCCGCCTAAGAAAAACAATAACGTTTTCGTTCAGGGCCACGATGTTAGAAATGAAACGCCAGTTCTAGTTTCCTTATCTGCATGTCCCGCAGCGCTGTGTTCTGGCGCTGTAAGCACTACGGGTTGGCACAGCGAGGTAATCCAACGGTATTTTAATGAAACAATAACGAATTATATCCAAAGAAAGTATCAACCAATACACAGTGTGCGTGAAACAACCTATCATCTTGTTATTGAATGATTTACTGTATGACAGAGCGGAACGATACTGATGAAAAGCCGAAACGCAGGCAATAACTAAACGGATTTTAGTATCTTAACGTACTAATAATTATTTCCTAGTTATATATTTTGTGTGCTGTTTTGTGTTTTCTATTCTTACCAAAACATTCTCTGTCCAAATGCAACAGTTGAACCGTGTTCCGCAATAAGACACATTTAAAGGTATTCTCCCAACACAGTCCCACCTCCCCGGGACCTGCCCACGGCCCACGGATGACCACGGCGGCCCGGGGGCTTTGCCCCAGGAGTCCCTAAGTGAAATCCAGTGGTTTAGTCCCGGGGCACAACTCCGGGGAAGGCAGCTGCCTCTCCTGCTCGGCCTTGTGCGCCAGTGTATTCCCAGCCCGGGAGCTGACTGTGTGGTAGGGAGGCCTAAAGCGGCCAGACTGGCCCAGCGTCACTCATCGCGTTCCGTGAAGAAGATACACCTTTTCTTGGTAGAAAGTGCCAGGCTGCTTTGGTGGACATGCACTAGCCGCAGCACAGATCAACCGCTGTCTCCCTGCGCTTCGTGCCTGCAGGACTCCAACAGAATCCACAGACCATCTTAATCTCCAGTCTTCTCCGTGCCCCCAGCACGGCAGAAATAAAGAACCCGAACTGGATTTCCAAAGCTAACTGCTAAGCCACCCGCATTCCGCTGGCGTACGGGTCAAGTCCACAGCTCGAAGCGCCAGTGTGTTTCTGTGGCCCCTCGGAAACCGATGGCACCCATAGCCCACAGTGCAGATGAAGCCGGGCCAGCTGGCCGGCCCGCAGCGCGCTGGGGAAGTGAAAGAGTCCTGTCATTCTTCTCTTCCTGTGTGGTTACGGCGGGCTCTGCAGCCCAGCGGCAGGGACAAGGAGGGGGTGGCGGCTGTATCCCCGGTACAGCTCTCTCCCCCAGTCCCCTTCCGCGCAACCTGCACACAGACGAGGAAGACGGTCGGTCCCCGCAGGCCGGGCGATCAGGTGGTCTTCCCCGGTGCGCGCAAACCTGCTCTCCGGAAACGCGCCGGAGAGAATCTAGATCGTGACGCGAGCAATAAACACGCAGAAGAGTGGCGACCGTGCTCGGTGCTCCGTCTATGTGCAGGCAGTTAAAACCGAGGTCCGATCAATGAGACATTTATTTTTCTACCCGGTTTTTAACCGCTTCACCCAGCGAGCAGTGGGCGCAAGGCGGGGTACACCCTGCCCGGTGGGCAACATTTATTCAATTGATTTCATTACTGAAACGCCGAACAAGTCTTCACCTTCGCCCACCGCACGCTGAGGGTGACGCTGCGTCAGCGGTTTGCGTTTGTGATCGGAGGACGCCCTGTGTGAACAGAAAACGCGCGCAGGGGTTGAGGGCAAAATATAGGTTCCTCCTGGGTTTCTGACTGGAGAAAAATATCCCACAGGGCTCATTTCCCAGGGACCTCGATCTTGGCACCCCAAAACACCTTCAAACACAGATCCGTGGAGAACTGTTGTCTCGACTGCACGCGACATTATACCTGGAACTGCTTCAGGTTTAAGGATCCTGCAGCAGCATTTTTACCTGGATCATTATCTAAAAACCATTTTCCTGACCTAGTGCACAGTATCTGACGTTGCCATAACATTTTTTGCTAACCCATCGCGCAGTTTTAACCTTTTTCTGCAACCCCGCGAAACTCTCATTCCACAAACCCATGTTATATTATCCAGGACAGAATTGGAAGCACCATTTTTCCTCTCATCAGGCTGTGAGGGAAAGAGCGATCGGTACATGAGAACAGGGCCCCTGTACTAATGCGCCTTTTCCTACTCTCACGGCCTGCTCGGTGAAACCAGGCTGCCCCCGGGCTGCGCCGAGGACACGGCTGAGAGGGAGCGGGCCGCCCTGCTGCGCTCCGGTGCTCGCCTCGCCGCGGCCGGGCCTGTTTCCGTGTGCCGATTGACAGCGCGAATCACACGAGCATCACAGCTGTGCGCAAAGTCCTGCCGGAAACCCCCTGAGCCGGGAGCCCAGCGCCCCGCCGAGATCTCCGCCTCTCCCCCTCTGCAGCTGCTCACTCCGCCTCTGAGAGACCCCTGCCCAGAGGGCTACCTTACCCCCTTCCCTCCTGCCCCCCCTGCCCAGAGCCCGGAGAGTCCAGGACGCAGCTGTTGTTTGAAATACCTGGAGCCCCTTTGCTGATATTTAGACTATTGTTTAGACTGTCCAGTGGGCTTCAGTTATAATGAAATGTCACAGTTTGCGCCTAATCTGACCTCCTTCGCAATAACCACGAGGCCAATTGGACTTGTACTCCAACAAGAGAGAGCGCACCGCGCCACCGATGGCACTGCTGAAAACTGAACGTCCACAAATGATGAATTTTTACTCTCTCGTCATTACAAGATAGCACATGAGATATATTTTTTTTCTTGATGGCAGCAATGCGCGTCCGTTAACCCCAACAGCCAGACAGCCCTGCCTGATAGCTGAGCTCACGACTGCTGCGTTAACAGAAAGAGCCGGCAGCCAGGAGCCCGAGTCAGACAACTGTGCCGTAACTACGACATACCGCGTGGAATATGTTTTACGCTCATGGCTGCAATGCCAGCCGGAGAGAGTTGGGGACAAACACTCACTGCCCACCCCTCTCCGCACAGGCGCTGCTGAGTCAGCGACCCTCCGGGCAGACCTGACCCGGCCGAGCCGGTTCCGCCCCAGCAGCAGTGGGTACTGGACAGCGGTACCTTCAATCAGTGCTTCATAACGAGTAACAAGCGCTAAACAAACAAACAAAAAAAACTGCTGTTTTTGTATTCAATTTTTTAGCAGCACATTTTTAGACTGGGGTAGGGGTAATTCCGGAACAATAATAACGTGGTAAAGACAGCGGGCCTCTTCACGTACGTGCGTTTCAGGAACGGCGTCTTATCTAGAGTCTCATCTTAGCGGAACTCGCACATGAAAAGTTTGGTTTTCGGAACATGAAGTCTCGACCTTCTTAATTATTCCGTCTTAAAATGCCAGATGCAAAGTTCTGAGATTTCGGTTCTCTTTGTCTCACGATTCGTCCGACCGACGGAGTGATGAGTTTGCGCGGCTCATGACTGAGGAGCATTACCGCCGGGTCCTCCCGAGGAGTGTGCTGAGCCGCCGGGCTGGAGCTCAGCCCCCAGTGCAGTCTGTCCCCTTGGCCACACCAGAGCAGGGCTGAGATAAGGCAACACAGCCAGCACAGCCGAGACCAGAGCGTCCCTCCAGGAAATACCAGCACAAAATGCATGATTATGTCCAAAATGCATACAAAGGGCATCACAGTGATGCAGTGGTTACAGCGCCGGGCCTCCTGGGGTGCTGTGTGTGTGGAGTTTGCATGTCCTCCCTGTGTTTGAGTGGGTTTCCTCCAGGTGCTCTGGTTTCTAACCTGTCCAAAGACATACTGGTAGATTGTGTGGTGCGAGTGTGTGGGTCTGTGTGTGTCCTGTGAGGACGAGACGCTGGGATGACTAGGTGTTTAACGAAGGCTCTCTCCCGCCCAGCTGTCGCTGGACGACGTCAGCAGCCTGGAGCTGGGAGACTACGGGATCAATGAGACCGAGGGCAACGGCACCATGGACTCGGGCCCCTTCACCTGCGACGGGGCCGCGGGCGAGGACGCCGGCCTGCGGCTGTTCCACACTGTGCTCCTGCCCCTGCTGTACGGCGCCGTGCTGCTGCTGGGGCTGCTGGGGAACGGGCTGCTGCTGGCCGTGCTGCTACGGCGGCGCCGGGGCCTGCGGGTCACCGAGGTCTACCTGCTGCACCTGGCGCTGGCCGACCTGCTGCTGCTGCTCACTCTGCCCTTCGCCATGGCGCACGCCGGCCTGGGCTGGCTCTTCGGCGGCTTCCTGTGCCGGGCCGTGGGCGTGGCGCACCGCCTCAACTTCCTGTGCAGCAGCCTGCTGCTGGCCTGCATCGGCTTCGACCGCTACCTGGCCATCGTGCACGCCGTGCGCAGCCTGCAGAGCCGCCGCCTGCGCGCCGTGCACCTCACCTGCGCCTGCGTCTGGCTGCTGTGCCTGGCGCTGTCGCTGCCCAGCGCCGCCTTCCTGTCCGTGGAGCCCGCGCGGCCCAACGCCAGCCGGCAGGCCTGCGGCTTCCTCAGCCACGGCCTCCACGCCAACAACTGGCTGCTGACCAGCCGCCTGCTCACGCACCTGCTGTGCTTCTTCCTGCCGCTGGCCGTGATGCTGTACTGCTACTCGGCGGTGGTGGCCACCCTGCGGCACAGCCAGCGCGGCCTGGAGAAGCAGGGCGCCATCCGCCTGGCGCTGCTGATCACGCTGGTCTTCTGCCTCTGCTGGCTGCCCTACAACGTGTCGGTGCTGCTGGAGACGCTGGGCGCGCTGGGCGTGCTGGAGCAGGACTGCGCGGGCCGCCGGCGGCTGAGCCAGGCCACGGGGGTGACCGAGAGCCTGGGCTACGCGCACTGCTGCCTCAACCCCCTGCTCTACGCCTTCCTGGGTGTGCGCTTCCGCCAGGACCTGCGCCGGCTGCTGGCCAGCTGGGGCTGCCCGCTGGGCCTCTGCTCCTGCCAGGACCCCCACGCCCGCGGCCGCGAGCGGGCCAGCAGGATGTCCATCTCCGAGGGCGGCCCGACCACCAGCAGCTCCCTGATCTGAGCCCCCGCAGCGGACCCTCGGCTCTCTGGCCAGCTCGCGTCCGGAAGCAACTTCCCCACTCTCCGTCCGCAAACGACCCGATTCGGATTCTCTTCGTTTGCGAAGCCTGGGCGTCCGCCCGCGAGCTCGATTCTCCTGCTGCTCCTGCTCCTGCGCCCCCCTCGAGCCCGCACTCTGACCCCCACCCTGCCCATCCCGAGAAGAGTGGGGCTCCTCGAGGACACGGGGGGTTTCGGACAATCTGGACTGTGTGCTTGTCTGCTTTTAAACGCGCGGCGCTGCCCAGTGAGCTGTGTAAAGTGTGCACTGCCTATAGAAATAAAGACTGTGAAGATCTGTCGTAACCACCAGGCTGCGAGGGGAATGGACTGCAAAAGGAGTTTGGGTATTTTTGGTACATATGTTAGCAAAATGTGTTCATCCCACGGTGTTCAGCTGCCTTTTTTGTGTCAGGGACCAGCCAACAGTGGAAGAAAAACTATTGAATTTATCCTGAATTTACCTGTGTGTTTCCGGCGGTGTCTGGAAGGGACCAAGGACCAGGGACTGAGAAACCTGCTTAGAGCATACTGCCATGGCCCGCCTCTTGGATAATGTGAAATATGTTATCATCTTGTTATATAATCCCTCTCAGAACTCAATTGATTATAATTTTGTTATTACAATAAACTTTAATAGGCTTTGCTATAATGACATCTATAACTGCCATTTGTATATGTTATCAGTTACACAGACTCGTCAGCCCCTCTCTTAACAATTTCCGAACTACAGCTAAAACCAAGCTTTGGGTGGCTAGTGTGGGCAGAACTGATTGGGGAACTGGGTAAAACATATCTCTTCTAAAATAAAAGTGATAAAATGCATTAACTATCACATCTCCCTTCATTCAAAGACTTACTGTAGGCTTTAAAACGAAATGGCCTGTATTAAAAAGACATTACAAGGCAGTGAACAGAAAGGAAGCAGACATGCCTGCAGATCAGCTAGTGAAGTGAATGTCAGGAGAAGGTGCAGGTGCTAACTATACAGCCATAAGAGCTGGGAGCTGTGAATGTGCTTAGTACACATATGTAGTTTTTTTCTGGGAAATACAAATTTTAACCACAGCTAGAGAGAGGTCACTGAAGCAAAACTTTCCACAACACACACTTAAACTGCTCATGCACACACACTGCTCAACAGACACACTGAAATCTACACAACACACACACACTGCTCAGCAGACACACTGAAATTTACACAACACACACACATTCATGCAGACACACTGAAATCTACACAACACGACACACTGCTAATGCAGACACACTGAAATCTACAGAACACACACACACTGCTCATGGAGACGCACTGAAATCTACACAACACACACACTGCTCATGCAGACACACTGAAATCTACACAACACACACACACTGCTCATGGAGACACTGAAATCTACACAACACACACACACTGTTCATGCAGACACACTGCTCATGCAGACACACTGAAATCTATACAACACACACACACTGCTCATGGAGATACACTGAAATCTACACAACACACACACACTGAAACCCATTATAGCGCCAAATACGAGCAGCGGTACGAGGTCCTTGTGAATACCAGAAGACATTCTGCATTCATCTGCGCAGTAGAAGGTAAAAGAGCCTTGTTAAGACAGGAGCAAACCTGGTGAGTCAACCTCACAGATCCCTCGTCAGAATCTCCCCTCGATCAGAGTGAGTGGTGCAGTACGCTGATCAGAACAGATCCTACCTGGGGTCAGGGTCACAGGTCTGTGAATTCACTCGTTTCATACAGACGTCCTTCATACTCTTCCTCGAGGGCTTGTCTTGAGCTCTCTAAGGAAAAATCATCCAGATTAAGGATTTAATGTTTGATGCTTTCTTCCAACAGATGCTTCAGTTTTCACTGTCTGTGACACACTAAAAGACCAAGACCTTCATCGGGTGGGAGGTGTGCGTACAAGCACATTTACACACCCAGGATAAACTGAGGTGAATTTACCATCAGAGCAGTATAGCTGTCCAGTCAGTGCTGCTGACCCACATCAGAGCAGTATAGGTTTCCGGTCAGTGCTGCTGACCCACATCAGAGCAGTTTAGCTGCCCGGTCAGTGCTGCTGACCCACATCAGAGCAGTATAGCTGTCCGGTCAGTGCTGTGGAGTCCACCTAGCTCACTGGGAGTCCAGTAAGCAGCTGACAGACCTGATTGAATCCAGTCGTTTCTAGAAAGAAGCCCAGAGTATCAGCTTTAACAACATGGCTGGGAGGTTCGTCTCTTGCTCTCACACTCCTTTAGGTTTAGTTTTAAACACACTTCCTCTTAGTTTCAACTAGTGTCCTCCGCCTTGTGTATCCCTGCTGATTCTGGGGAAGTACTGGACATATTCCTGGCTATGCATGTGGATGTATTTCATGTTTTTCAGAAGATGTCCCCGATCCTGAGCAGCATGTCACTGAGGCCCCATGAAGGAGCTGTGGTGAGCTCACGCAGTCGGGCAGCAGCTCTCCTGTGCACAGGGACAGACAGACAATCAGAAAGACGAGAAAAACGAACAGTACCTGCCATCCCTCTGAGTGAAGACACGGGCACTGCCACACACCCGCAGGCCCTCGCTCGGCAGGGAGACTGCAGCCCTGTGGAGCCCATCGCCCTGCCAGGACCCAGGGGCCAGAGCCACAGGACTCTGGCCTGAACCAGACGCCCCCACCCCCCCGAGACCTTTCTTCTAGTGCTTTCGTTTTCATTTCAGGACTCAGGGCACCTGCCGATCTTTGTGAAGTGGAAATACAGCGATGAGAAGCCGCGGCCCCTCGACGTGCCCCCCAGTGTCTCCCAGTACTGCTGCAGTAATCCCCCAGATCAGTGCCAATCAGAAGTTCCACACAACCCACACGCCTGGATATTAATACATTAACAGTTCACCTCAGCTAACCTTTAAAGACATTTTATTATCGCTTCGGATGCCTCTCATGGATAAATATTGTATTGATGGCAGCTTGTTCCTTCTACATTTAGAAAATGTCATGTGTAAATCACGCACCGCCACGCTTCCTCTCTGTGTGTCTGCTGTACGGCGTCAAGTCAGCAAACGGGCTCGGACCTTCAGCTCTTCGGGGTTTGAGGTGAGACCTGGCACTCAGCAGGTGCACTGGTTTTACTCGGATCTCCCCGACCAGATCGCTTTAACAACTGCGATGACGCGAGACGCAGCGGAGCTCTGGGTCCTCTGTTGAGTGACCCCTGCGGGGGAGGGGAGCTGCCTCTGTATAAATGCTGGTCTTTAGCATATTGTAAGAAGACCATTATTCCCAGTAACAAGAGCTACCTTCTGCCAGCCTGGAGCCTGTCCCAGAGGTACAGAGCAGAAGGAACTACTTCACAGGTGGGTCACAAGTCCCACGTAGGGACGGTTAGAAACAGCAGCTTCCCAGCGCTAACAAGGCGGAAGGCAACAAAACACCTGCTAAAAATGCACACAAAGTAAGGAGAACATACAAACTCCACACAGAAGGTCCCACTGTCTGGAATCAAATCCGGGATGCAAGAGTTATGAGGCAGCAGTGCTAACCTCCATTATTACTAGCGAGCTCATGTCTGATCTCCTGCTGTGGGTACGATCTAGTCAACCTCAAACTGCAGCACTGACAGCCGCTGGTGAGACAAAATCAAGGCCTGTGCTAGTGACACTGTGGTAGCGACATGACCTGCAGCACCGCCGGGGAGAACTCGTTCTCGGAGTTGAGAGGCTCAGACTGCAGATACAGCAGGGTCTCAGCTTCTGCCCAATTAGCAGTCACGACGTGGTCAAGCTCACCCAGCCTCGGATGAAAACGAGCAGGAGATCGTTAAGCGCAACTTTCAAATTAGCGGCACGGCAGACTAGGACTTCGAGATGGACCCACTCATTACAGTGGGGCACTCTGCATCGAACCCTCCAAACGTCCAGACCCCACTGTACCTCCAGAATTACCTGGATACTGGGGGAATGAAATTAAAACAAACAGCCGTTTATAAGCAAGAATAACCCATCAACAGCACACAGATCTAAGATGTGACAAGAGAAGGGCAGCCATCGCAATCGGATAAAGTGCAATTCACCACATTGCGCATCAAAGCAAAGACACAGCTTCAAAAAACTCTGATTTAAACAACTGTTCTGGCAAACACTTCTGCTTTAAAGTTGCTGTCAATGTTCTGTTAATTATGAACTAAGACCCTGATTTAGGAGGAACTGTTTTCTAAACACAGCAAAATGGAGCAGAAAGAAAGGATCTGAAATGTAACACGATTAGAGAAAAACACTCCCTCCCGTACTGAGATACTGGACTGGATAGTGGGATGTGTCCGACATCAGTGCCCAGCAGGTTAAAACACAGGCGCCCTAATTCTGAAACTGAAGCAGGGAATCCCACAGTCCAGCACTTTTCCCTCTCACTCATCATCATCAGCTTCAGGCTGTGCAGGAGGCAGAAACCAGTCAGGTTGAATGTCAATCAAACCGACTTCACGTCAGCTGGACAATCAGCTGGTTAGAAGTCAAGACACCCAGCTGCATTTCGGTCTCTGAGGACCAGAGCTAGGAATCGGTGCTCCAGGGCTCTGAGGTGATCCAGGAGAGCCCAGATTCCACAGGATTTATGGAATCTACTAGAGCAGGGGGCTAACAGGCCAAAAAATGTATGTCTGACGAGACCAATAACCCAGGAAGCAGGCGATACTGCAGAGCTCTTCAGGAGCAGGGGCTGTGTGCAGGCGCCACTCCACATCGTGAGGCCGGGCTGCAGTGACTGCCCCCTCCCCACAGGGGTCAGCGTGCTCCCCCATTCTCCTGCCTCCCCTCGAGCAAGCTCAAATGAAAAGAGCACAGACTGCATTTGGGTCTTATTTTGACAGATTTTTTTTTCTTTTTCACCTCAAGGCTTCTATTAAAACACAGTTATACAGAACAGTTGAAAACAATCACAAATTGCATCTTATTTACAGCTCCTATTTCATATTTATAATATATATATATTTTTATCAATATATGCATGACCTGGTCTCCCCCAGACAGGCTCTTCGAAGACCAATCTCAGGATTAGCTGATGAATCTTGCCGCAGAGCCCCAAACAAACCACACCCAGCTTCACCTGTACTGCTTTCACAGATCCAGCCTCATTAGGTCATAATATTTGCAAAAACACGAAATCCCAGAGTGAGGTCTCAACCTTGACAATTAACCTTGAAATGCCTGAATCTAGGATAACAGGTTGCATATATATACAAAATCCCTTGCACAACAGTTTGGTAGCCAGAAAAAAAAGAAGAAAAACAAATTTGATCGACTTCCCTTCTCTGCCCCTATGGATCTGTGAAATATACATATTTTACAACTATAAAAAGAAACCGTCACAATCATTTAACTCAGGTGTTCTCCTCTGGTCTCTCTCAGACAGCCGGAACTGCTCAGATCTTCAAGCCCAGAGGAGGTGGCCCTAATTCTGAAATGCTTGTTGTTGGTTTTTTTTTTAAAAAAGCTTTTTATTCAAAAATTAAAGAGAGATTCTCCGTGATGACAACAGCGCTGCCGAGAGGACTCGTGGCGCCGGCAGTACGAAGACGAGCGCGATGAAGGGCGGCTCAGAAGGGCAGGTTGGCCATGCTGCTGGGGCCGTACCCCAGGGGGCTGTCCAGCGACATGCCCCGCTGCCGCAGGCTCTGAGGGCCCAGCAGGCCCGCCTGGGGGTGCGGGGGTCCCATCAGGGGCCCCTGCTGGGCGTAGAGGTCGGCAGGCAGGGGTGCGCCGCGCTGCTTGGGCTGCATCACCATCAGGCCGTGCTGGTGCTGCTGGGGGGGCAGCACGGCGGGGTGGGGGCCGTGGTGCAGCTGCTGCTGGGCGCCGGGGGGCGGCCCCATGGCTGTCCTGCCCATCAGGTGCCCCGGCGGGGCGCACATGCCGGCCCGGGCCCGCAGCCCGGCGTGGGCGTGGGGCGGCAGCGGCTGCTCGGCCATCATGCTCTGCAGGCTGGCCAGGTGGGGGTTGGACGGCTCGGCCCGGGGGAAGTACTGCAGGGTGCCGCTGGGCTTGTCCGCGGGGATGATGCGCGACAGGTCGAACTCCGGGATGCCGGTGGCCGAGGGCCGGATCACCTCGCTCAGGTCTGGGCCCTCGCCCAGGGGGGCGGGCGCGTGCCCCAGGCCCTTGCCCAGCAGGTGCAGCTGGTGGTGATGGGCCAGGGCGTCCTCGGGCGCGGGCGCCGGCGGGTACGGCGGGGCCTGCAGGCGCGGGTACCCGGCCAGCTGGTTGTGCGGCAGCATGGGGGACACGCTGCAGGGAGCCCCGCCGCCCGGCACGCTCATGGGGCTGGGGGGGTGCAGCAGGGACCCCGCGGGGTCGTGGGACAGCGGGGGCTGGCCCGGCAGGACCGCGCCCATGGGACTCTGGGAGCCAAGGTGCATCTGGGAGGGCTGGTGGTTCCCCACACCTCCTGCTGGAGAGAAGAAGAGACGGTGAGGGGAGCTCACTCGCGGACGACCCCACACAGGCGCCAGTGTGAGGACAGGCGGCGGGGGTGATTTCTGGGTAAGAGCCGCAGTGGAGGGGGCAGGGAGGAGACAGCCGTACTGGCGCCAGTCACCCACACAGAGCGCGGACCTGAACCGGCCCGACCCAAACTGCAGCACCAGAGATGTGAACCACACAGGGGCCCACAGCCGAGCAGCGCCCTGGGCGCTAACAGAGCCTCCTCCTGCCTGCAGGAACTGCTGTCTGGGACTCCAGGACCTGCGACGTGATGGACAGACACGCTCTGCCTACCGTACACTCAAAACACAAAACACTCCGCAAACCATTTCAAAACTGAACACTAACACTGAAAGTACGTTCTGCCTGCTTGGAGAGACGCCCTTCTACAGCTGAGAGGCTCTACAGACTCAGTCCTAGCTGAAGGAGACTATGAGTCATTCGATCCAAGAACTCAAGACCTTGAAAAGTATTGACTAAACCCATAGACAGCTGTAGGGCAGTCGCCAAAAAAGACTGAAGAAAAACCCCAGCTCACCCCTCTTTTCTCTCGGTCGAAATGGATGTCCCGACTGACTGCCTGTAGGGCTGTCTGTAGGGAATAAGCAGCAGGAAGTGGCAAAGGTTAATCTTCCAGCAGTTCAAGTTTAATTGCTTTCCTGCTTTTTACAACAGAATGTTAGTGTGGCTTTCTGTGCAGCTGGAATGCAGGGCAGGTAAACGTCACAGACTGAACAAACCAGCCAACTGCTGCTCTCCTCTGGTACAGGGCTGTGCAGGAGGAGTCTGCTCTTCCTCACCCTCCCCTGTGTGCAGTCACAGGGTTAGTGACTGAGTAGCTGGCTCATGGTGTGAGGCAGCAGAAACAAACGCACATTGGGTGGGTTTAACACAAAATAAACGGCTGCTCTAAATGTGAAAAAATGAGCTGTCCAAGGGCGTCACCTCTCGTTTGTAGCCTCTCTTACACTTTTAGTGGCAAAACACACACCTGCCATGCTGACAGCGGCCAGCAGGGGGCGATCCGGCATCATCTCGTCATCGGAGGTGGCGATGGTCTTGATGGCGTCGTGGTAGAGGGGCGTGTTGCTGGGCATGGCGTACTTGGACATCTGCGACATGATGAGGGACAGGGGGTTCTGAGAAGGCGGGGCGTCCGGGGAGGAGGTGAAAGGCATGCTGGGGTTGATGGAGCCCGGCTGGCTGAGGGGAGTGGAGTTGGAGCTCCGTGGAGGCAGGGGGGGGCCTGGGGAGGACACCGGGGAGGACAGAGCAGGGACAGGGGAGACACCAGAGGGCAGGGAGCACAGACAGAAGGGAGGAAAGAGACCAGAGGAAACAAAGTACATCTGATCAGTGAGAGGACTCGACCCAGCGTGGACAGCTTTAAAACTCTTCTCACAGAGGCAGCTCGGTCCTGTCCGCAGCGCAGGCGGCGAGACGCCCCAGACCCGCGCCGCGCCCCAGAACCTTCCTGAGCAGGCCATCCTCACCTGTGTCCACGCCGCTGCCCCCGGCCTTGCCTCCCGGCGGCCCTCCTGGGCTGGGCAGGGTGGTCTTCGGGGAGGCGGCCCAGCTGGGGGACGCCACGGGCACAGATGGTGATTTCAGGCGCCCGGGGGACCCCGAAGGAGAGAGCACCCCCAGAGAGGAGGGGCCCACCACCTGCGGTGACTTCAGGGAGGGCGTCCCGGCGCTCGGCGTCGTCGGGGGCGGGGGCGGGGGGCCGGCGAGCTGGGGCGACTTCAGGCCCGGGGCGGATGGGGAGGGCGCCTGGCTGACGGAGGGGGACTTGAGGTGGTGGGGTGGCGCCAGGCTGGGGGACCCCATGGGGTTCATGCTGACGGAGAGGTCGGAAGGCCGGCGGGGCCCGAGGCCGGGGCCCCTGCCGGCCGGGTTCAGGGGCAGGTGGCTGAGCCGGGACGTCCCGCCCAGGGGAGAGACGCCCTGTTCAGGGCCAAACAGGTCGGGGCCCGCGTCCTGGGGGAGGTACCCGGAGAAGGGCCCCTGGCCAGGGTAGGGCAGGGCCTTGCCCCCGCCCCCCGGCCCGTTCTGGGCGGCCCGGAGCCGGGACACCTCCTCAGGCCCCAGCATCAGCTTGGGGGCCGCCGGCTGCTGCCCGCCCGACTGCAGGCTCAGGCTCATGTTGACGTTCATGCTCATGCTCAGCCCGCCGCCCAGCGGGGAGCCCGCCATGTCCCCCGCAGGCCCCCCGCCGGGGGACCCCAGCAGGGCTCGGGAGCCCGCAAACTCCATGGGGTCGCCCCGCGGGTACCCCCCCCCACCTCCCACCGGGGCCTGCTTGCCCACCCTCTCCGGCCTCTTCTCCAGCAGCAGGCGCTCGGGGTCCCCAGCCAGGTGCTGGGGGGGCCCCGGGGCAGGGTAGCACCCCTGGAAAGGCAGCCCCGAGCCCATGCTGGGGGGCGCATCCTCCAGCCAGCCCGGCCGGGGGGGCCTCTGAAGCCCCACGCTGTCCATGGGCAGCACCGCGCCGGGGTACGCGCCGGGGGGGCCCCTCTGCATGGACCCCAGGAAGCGCTGCCCCCGGGGCCCATCCTGGGGCCCCTCCATCAGCCGCCCCTGGCCCCCGGCCCCCGGCCCGGGCCACTGAGGCTCCCCGGGCTTGCTGTGGTAGGGCGGGGGGGGGCCCCGCGTGACGAGCCCGGCCTCCGGCATCATCCTGGGGTGGGCGTGGCCGTGGCCGTGGGGGGGCACGTCCTGCTGCCGGCGCTTCTCCTGGAAGTACTCCTCCTGCAGCCTGCGCCAGGCCGCCTGCTCGGGGCTCAGCCCGTCCGGCCCCAGCAGCAGCCCCTCGTCCAGGCCCGGCAGCGGCTCCTCGTACCTGCGGCCGGGG